ATCTTAATAATCAAGGATAATATCGACGCCAAAGTTTTAAGCAATAAACATATAAACAGAATGAAGAGAAGCAGAATGCTCACGTCTCTCAACAGTGCAAATGGTTCCGTTTTATTTTGCTGTAGCAGATGTTAAGTTTCCAATAATAAAATAAAATAAAAAATCTAAGGGAGACATTTAGCAAAGTATAGCTTTACACTCCAGAGTTATCACTCCAATTTCAACTGGGACCATAAAGTTTTATGAGCTATTAAATTGCCCTAAACCTCCTTTAACACACCAGCTCTAATGCTGGAGATTAACCATTTCGGAGGAGGAGGTTACCTTAGCTGGGATGGGGCTGTTTTCCTGCACTCTGCTTCAGTCAATAACACTTTGCCGTGGCAGAGCCATTTGCTGGCTGCGTGGTTGGTAATTAGCCCTCATGCCCTGCAGGTAATGCAGCTGCAGGAGCTCCCATCCCTCCCACGGCTCCAGGAGCAGCTGCAGGAGCGGGATGGATGCTCAGGAGAGCAGAGGGAACAGCTCAGCTCCTCGGCTGGCTGATGTTTTGCTTCCCCCCATCCCTTCACCCGTTCAGCAGGGATGATCAGGGTTTCTTCTCCTTGCGTTTCACAGAATTCCAGGCTGGTTTGGGTTGGAGAGAGTTTAAAGCTCATCCAGTCCCACCCCCTGCCATGGGAACCTTCCACTGTCCCAGGCTGCTCTAAGCCCTGTCCAAGCTGGCCTTGGGATCCAGGAGCAGCCACAGCTTCTCTGGGCACCCTGTGCCACGGCCTCAGCACCCTTAAAGGGAAGAATTCCTTCCCAATATCCCATCTAACCCTGCCCCTCTGGTCAAAATCTCTCTCCAGACTTCTTGCAAGCCCCCTCTAGGTGCTTCACAAAGCTTTCTCCTCTCCAGGATGAGCAATCTCCAGTTTCCTTTTCATTTGGGTGACAAATCCATCTGAACACGGCCCTTGACTGTGTTTTATCACCTTGCAGAAGAGACCTTTGCTTCTGGCTTGAATGCCCTGGGTGTTGAAGCCACCTGAAGTGAAGCTACCTGGTTAAGTGTCAGTTCCATTGACACTTGCAGAGCTCTCTCCAGAGAAGGGACTTAAAAACACTCCAGCCACATCCAGAGAGTGTCACACCACGTCCCAGAAGCCCAGGGTTGTTTGATTGATTTTTAAATAGGCACAATCCCAGGAGCAGAGATGGCCTGGATCCATGGGATGATCCTCAGCCTGTCAAAGGGGACCTGGGGGGCTTTGCCACCTGCAATCAGCCAAATCACCACCCTTCACCCCCTGCTGAACTGGCCTGTGACCCTCTGGGCACCAAACCTCTGGCCAGGCCATCATTTTGCCTGTAAGGTAGTTCAGCTGCCTAGCCACATCTGGAAACATCTGTCTTGAGAGACCTGGGACTGTCTCACGCTGAAGACTTGCGGGGATCTGGCGTTTCTCCTAAAATTTCTGCTCTAGCTCCTCTCCTGCCATAAGCTCTGGAAAACCTCTCCTGCTTGGCTGGCTTGGAGCCCTGCTGCAGGCTGGGGTGCAGGGGAGGGCCCTGACATCAAACCAGAGAATCACAGAAATCACAGAATGCTTCGGCTTGGAAGGAACTTTAAAGACCATCAAGTTCCAACACTTTTCCACCTTTTCCTGGTGTTCCCTTGAACTTTTTTGGGACCATGTGGGAAGCCACCAGCAGGAGAGGTGGGAGCTGCTCCCCAGGAATGAAAAGAGATCACAGAGGCCAGGGAAGAGCGAGGCTGGGCCATCATGGCTTGGGGTTAATGTGCACAGAGCCAGGGGACGGAGAGGCGCTGGGAGAGGGCGGCTCCTTCCCGGGAGGAGTTTGGAAAGAAAGGGTAACCCCTGCTCTATTTGTGAAAGAAATGTCTCAGAGGCCTTCTCCTGCATCCTGCAAAGGCCACTGCCAGGGAGCTGCAGCAGCACGGGGGGGCTTGGCAGCCTGCAGGGGTGGGAAATGCCTCCTCCCAAAAGCCTGATTCCCATTTCCCCTGAGATAAGATCTGCAAGGACTGTTTTTTTCCCCCCTAAATTTTTTGAAGGCATTTCCTATTTGGAGCCTTTATGGATGGTTTCCCTTGGCTGAGGGCTGAGCAGCCACCTCCCCAAGCCAGGCAGGGTGGCTTCCCCATGCCCACACTATCCTTAAGAATCTTGGGGAGATGCTTCAAAGCCTCTGGTACCTGTGAGAGGAACAAGCCAGACGCCATCATCATTACAGCACAGCCCACATTGCAGGTGGGGCTGCTCTGGAGAGCCTTTGCTTTCTTCCCAACCATCTGCTGTGGTTAAAACCCTACCTGGGAGGACTTAAATTCATGTACAAGTTGGTGCAACAACCCAGCGTGTTCTGGGGAGCAGGAGGAGGTCTTCCAACTTTGATCCTTCCTGGCACTTTGAGGACATGGTTCACCAGGTCTGTGCACACTGCAGCCTCTTTCTTCTTGATTAAAAAGATGCATTTTGCTGTCTGAGGTGCCTCAGACATCAGCAGAAACTGCATTAAGAACAGCAGAGTTTTCCCTTTGAGTTCTCTTTAACTGCATTATAGTGCCATGAAGTTAAACATTACATAGGTACATAAATAGGGTTGGACTTGATAATCTTCAAGGTCTTTTCTAACCTAAATGATTCTGTGATTCAATCCAGCAAGCCCCAGGCTTCAGAAAGGCTCTGACTAAGCCAATCTTCAGCGGTGCAGATATGTCCCATGTCCTGCGTGACAGAAAAACAAGGTTTAACTGATGTAAGCTTGGAGAATAATAGGGCAGTCCATCTAAAATTAGCTGGAGGTCGAAACTTTTCAAGCCATTCCTTCTTCTGCAACTGGGGAAGAAATCCCTCAGCTGTAGCACCCTGCTTTGCAGTGAGTTGAGCAACTTCTGAGGCTGAGTCAGAGAGATTTCCTAACACCTCTTCCCTCCCCAGATAGCAAACACCAGCTCTGGGAGACAGAGAAACACTGTTCTCACTCATCCCAACTGGAGCTGGCCAGCCTGGAGTCACATGGAGCTCCAGTGGTTCCCTTCCCAAGGGCTGCAAGTTCCTTTCTGCAAGTTTAATTACCCTCAACTATCACTGGGATGAGGGAAATTTAATTACCCTCAACTATGACTGGGATGAGGGAAATTTAATTACCTTCAACTATCACTGGGATGAGGGGCGCCCTAAAAATTCTGCACATCCTAATAGTGCTTGAGCGCTCGGTTTTCTTCTTCCAAGAACGGTTTTCTTTCTTCAACTCCTCTGTTGGGTTGAAGCAGCCCTGGTAGAGCAGCCCCATTCTTTAGTGGTCCTTACAAAGCACCTACAAGTGCCAGCTGGAGCAGGGAATGGTCTCAGGTGGCAGCCACAACGTCCCAGCTTGGTGTGCTGGTGTGTCCCCACACACTTTGTTGTCCTCACTCTTGGTCAGAGGGAGTAGCAGACCCAAAACCCCACGAGGTGCTTTGTTCTGAAACTTTCATCGTTAAATTAAAGACAGGAAATGCAAGGTCCTGGCCAAACCAGAGGCTGGGCAGCATTTCCAGCTCGTTCATCTGCCTCCTGCAGCTCCTCTGCTCTCCTCCTGCTGCGTGGAGATGGAGAATGCAAATAGCATGGTGAGAGATGTGACCTTTTGGCTGAATGTCACCAAGTCCTGCAGCACTGGGAGTGTTTGCACTCAGCCTCTCCAGTTATTTATACAGATCCCCGTAAAACTCCGTGGGATGACTCAAGGATGGCTTTGACCTTGGTGGTGCTGGTGGTTTGATGGGCTGCAGTCCTTAAATGTTGTGTTTCTGACAGCAGTGTTGGACTTTCGATTTAGCAACCCCTAACATGGACCCGGGTCTGCCACTGCCCCGAAAATGTCATTGTTGAAGGGTGGGGAAAACCAGCCACAGGTGGAATGGAGCCCTCTGAGCTCCTGATGGTGTTTAAAACCCAAAATCTAAGGGATTGAGATTGACATTCTTGAGGGATGTTTTCATTAATTGTGGAATTATAGAGCCACAGAATGGTTTAGGTTGGGAGGGACCTTAAAGTTTATCCAGTTTCACCTTCCCCTATCCCAGGTTGCTCCAAGCCCTGCCCAACCTGGCCTAGGACATTTCCAGGGATGGAGCAGCCACAGCTTCTCTGGGCATCCTGTGCCAGGGCCTCAGCACCCTCACAGGGAAGAATTTTTTCCTAATATCCCATCTAACCCTACTTTCTTTCAATCCAAATGCATTATTTTCCAGTTGAAAGCCACTAATTGATGAATCAACTTCAAAGGCAGCCCACAGCATCCTTCTGAGTGTGTGAGGAACTGGGAATGACCACCCCACATGCTGCCAGTGTTCCTCCAGAGTGACAGACATTAGAAACCAAGCCCAAAACGGAGCTTTGATGCTGCTGCAGAAAACCTTGACCACACTGCAGGAACCTCAGTGCTCCCTCAGCCCTCACCTCGCTGGGAGGGTGTTCCCAGGCTGAGTTGGTCACAAACTTTTTGTGATTGTGGTCACAAACAATTTGTGATTGGATTTCACACTGTTTGATGAAAAATCTGCTGTCTGGAGCTCCCTCCTGCCTGGCTGCTGGGCTGCTTCACTCCAATACCAACGTGTGGCTTTTCTGCTCCTCTCCTCTGGCTGGAGCCCCGCTGAGTTTCATCCCAGCAGACAGGCTGACATTGGCTGCCTGCAGACCACGTTCAAATCCATCTCTGCTGCTCTGGAATCAGCTGAGCCACGAGCACAGAGACCCCCAGCCCTGGGAGGGGGTCTGGGATGAGCTTGGCAAGGCCAGGGATGGAGCAGGGAGGGATGTGAGTGGGGTTCCAGCAGCTCAGCCATCCCGGGTCTCTCTGTCCATCCTGCCAGGCTCCATCCTGCCACCATCACTCTGACACTCAAACCCTTTCCTCCTCCTTTTCATCCCTTATTTCACATGCCACAGCCATCCTGTCGCCTGCCTCTCGGCGATGTTGCTCAGAAAAATTAGGGCAACTGCTGCGCTGGGTTTTTATTAGTATTGCCAAACTCTTTCAGCATTTTTAGAAAGGGCTTGAGAAGGAGCCAAGTCGTTTCTCCTTCTTCTGTTTCTTTTCCTCCACCTCCTCCTTCACCACCACCCCCCTCCCCTCCTCTGTCTGCGGATGCTTTGGGATGAATTCATTCAGACGTGCGGTTTTGAATGTTTTTTGGCTCCTGGTTATCGAGCCATTCAGCAGTTCTGGGAGCCTCCCCCATCGGCTGTTTTTGAACCGGACAGAGAGGGGCGGAGGAGATGGCAGCGCCCTGATTTGTTGGCTTGTTACTTCTGCTCCTGCGAGCCGTCCGTGGGCTCAGGTTTCCCCATCCCGGCTGACAAGGACAGGCAGCAGCCAAAACGCTCCTTTGGGAGCCAGCCCCTGCACGCAGCGCTGCCCGTGTCACCTCGGAGCAGCCTGGTCCAGAGGAAGGTGTCCCACGCTGGGAAGGTTGGCATGAGATGCTCTTGAAGGTCCCATCCAGCCCAAAGCATTCTGTGATTTCAGTGGAAACAAAAATGAGATGTTTGCCCCTGTTTTTCCTTTCCTGCCTCACTCCCCTGTCCCCAAGCCAGGCTGTCACCCCAGCTCTGCTCTGGCACCACTGTCAAGTGGCCCAGGAGGGAATTTTTAGCCCCAAGGGGAGGCAGAGCTAACTCAGCCCCAGCAATGAGCACGTGGAGAACATCTTCTGTCTGATCCTCCCTTGCATCCTGGGCTGGGTTTGATTTCTCCTCCTTGGACAGGGGGATGTGCCCCAAAATTCTGGTCCAAGGGCAGCCCCACGGTGACCCCTGTGCCAGGGCAGGGCTTGGTGGGCACTGATGCCATGGGCACAGCCCACCTCACCTCTGCTAAAGGATGGATGAGCTCTGGATCTCCTGGAGCCTCCCATAATACAGAAAGAAGCAGAAATAACCACTAAATCCTTTTGAAAAGCATTTCCTGCCCGTGCTGCTCTGGAGGGGTAGCACTGAAACTCTTTAATCATAGGGAGGATGGTTAGAATTCATTATTTTCTCAGCTTTCTAGTTAAATTTTAAAAACCCACCTGAAAAATTCTCATTATTCCCTGTCAAGGCTTTCTTTGAGTATTCTTCTGCTCTGATTTCATAGTGGGCTAATACCTAAGAGAAATATTATCTCTCTGCTTGGCTCGCTGCCACCCCAGCCGTGTTTGTGTTTCAGGGGTGGATGAACCCACTCCAGTTTATTTATGTAGCTGGTAAAGCCACCCCTCCAGCACTCCCCTTGCTCTGAACTCGAGGCCCAAGTACAGTAGGGCCTGCTGGAAATCCCAGATGGCTTTAAAGCATCCCCATGTGCAAGGCATGGCTCTGCACCAGGCACAGCTCTCTTCCTGGGGCTCTGCTCAGACATCTGTGCTTTAAACAGCAGGGGGAAAAGTGCAAAACTCTGATTTATGCCATTCACAGGCTGCCATTGGGAACTGGTAGGAAGTCTTTGGGTGCAGAAATTCCTGTTTCTCATCTGTTTTTTATCCAGTTTACTCAGAAGGTACCAGGTTGAAATGCCAGAGGTGCAAACAGAGATGTCAAGGGGCTGCAGTGGGTTTTGGAGCCTTTGTTTTTGGAGAATCACAGAACAGTTTGGGTGGGAAGGGACCTCAAAGCTCATCTCATTTCTGCTATCCCTGAGTGTTCCAAACCCCATCCAGCCTGGCCTTGGACAATTCCAGGGATCCAGGGGCAGCCAGAGCTGCTCTGGGCAGGGCCTCCCCATTCCTCACAGGAAAGAATTTCTCCCCAAAATCCATCCCTGCCCTCTGGCAGTCTGAAGCCATTCTCCCTCATCCTGTCACTCCAGCGTCTTGTCCAAAGTCCCTCTTCAGCTCTCCTGGAGCCCCTTTAAGCACTGGAAGGTGCTCTAAAGTCTCCCCTTCCTCTTCTCCAGGCTGTTTTAGCAATTTAAGCTCAGAGGCAGAGAGGTTTTGAAGATCCAACTCTCACTGTTATAAATAAAAATCCTCCTGAGATTTGCCACCAGAGTCCTACTGGGAAGAGGCTGGTGCTGGGCTGGGAGCTGACCACACCAACAAACCCTGCAAGGACTTTTTCTCAATTTATCTCTTTGGGAAAGGGCTAACACCCCTAAAAATAGAGACTTTTGGCCTCTATCTGTACTGGTGGGACTTGAAGATCTTAGAGATCTTTTCCACCTTTATGGATTCTATGATTCTGAAGCATGCCCAGCATGGGTGTGAGCTCTTGTCCCCACCTGTCCCCAAAGCACACAGGGAGCGTTCACCTCTCTGCCTGCAGCTGGAATCTCTCCAGGCCATGGGGAAGAGATCAGCATTACTCTATTTTGGGCTTTATTTTTTTTTTTGCCAAGGTTGCTGCCTGGGCTGTCCACAGCCCAGCTGAGACTGGCACTGCCACAGTTATTCCTGGCACAGCTCTGGCTGCTGTCCCAGGACAGGATGAGAGAGTTAACACCAGGTAAGCGAGGCTGTGAATTTACAGCACAGCAGCTGCTCCCTGCCCGTGCTTTGAGCACACACTTACCCCACAGAGGATGCCAGGAGCTCCTGATCCATCCTGTGGGGATGGGAATGAGCTGCCAGCGGGGAGGAACAGGAACACAGTGCTGAGAGAATCTCCCAACCCCACGGCACAGGGAGGGCTTGCACAGGGAGTTACGGTGAAATGCTGCGCAGAGAGCTCTGCTGACAAATTCCCTCGGCTGTCAGGGCTGCAGTAGCTGGGCTGGAGGATGCTTTAATGCACTCATCTCACACAGAGCACTTGATGCCTCTTCTCCACTCGAGAGGGGAAGAATAGAGAGGAATGTGGGAGGGCAGCAGAGTGGTGCTGCCGCATGGAGTGTCTGAGGTGGGCAGCACCACTCTGCGAGCAGCCTTCCTCCAGCTGGGCTCCTCTTTTGCAATTCCAGTGCCTTGTTTGTCAGTAATTTATATTGACAGAGTCTTTCAAAACACTTTAGGCTTGTTTACAACGTTGAGCAAGAACATTTTGTCTCATGTCCTTTCCATTCTTAAAGACGAGCCTCTGGTCTGTCCATGCCCCTCTCCCCTGTGCTGCTCCAGAAGCTGCTCCCTCGCTCTCTGCAAACCTGATGGGCTGGAAAAGAACCTGCATATCTACTTGATGGGATGCTCTTTCCTCTCTAATTCCTAATTATGTTTTCCAATCAGGGGCAAAGCACTTTTTCCATGGCACAAACCTCCCTGCTCACTCTCAGGTATTGTTGTTGCTCATGGAGTTGGTTGTGAAGTGCTGGGAGCCAATGTGATACAAACCTGCAAGGAGAAATGAGCACATTTGGGACCTGTTCCAGCATCCAGTGGCATCATCTGAGCTGGAAGTACAGGATACCTCCTACCATGTTGGCTCTGCTGTTTTCTCGTCAAGCACTGAGCCCACAGGAGCAAGTCCATCCCTCTCCTCTCCATCCCTCCTGCTTTCTGCAGCTTTTTGCTGTCTGGTTCATCTGGATGCCGTGGTTGTCCCTTTTTCCCTGCACATCATCCTAAGAGCATTGGGAAAACAATTCTTTCGTGGAGCCCATCCCACTTGCAATGACAAGTTTAAAATCTTTTTAAAGTCTCCTTCAGCCTCGCAGGCAGAGGCTTTTTTGAGGGAAATGAACTAAAATATTTGGACTCTCCGGGAAGACAAATCCCCTCTGGAAAAGCAGCTGCTCCTGGGGCTGGCAAGGCAAGTGCTGGCCAAACCTGGCAGCCCTGCCCCAGCCAGCTTTAATGAAGCCAGCTCAGGGGGAGAGCAGGGAACAGCATGATCCTGGGAGCAGAGAGAGCACTGGATTGTCTGGCAGTCCCTGTGCTCAGCCTGCACTGCCCTGCTCCCTCTGCCTGTACCCTATTCCAGCCAGGACAAAGCCTGGACACGTTTGACTACCCAAGCCACAATAATCCCCTCTTCTTGCACTTACCTAAGGAGGCCGGAGTGCCCAATTATTTGAGAGTCTGCTGTTTAACGTGCTCTCAGCCTTGATTAAGACTTTTCATCTTCCAGGCAGAGATCAAAGTGAAACCTTGAGTTTTGCAGCGCTGCACCGTGGGTTGGGGCTGCTCTTGCTGCTTCCTTGTGATTCTGGAGCTGTCAGGATGGCAGAGCAGCAGGGAGGGAGTGTCGTGTCCCAGTGGGCAGAGGAGCAGGATTAAGGACATTTCACCAGCCTCCATCCTCCTTTTTTCCTATCCTTCCTTCCTACCCTGCTCTGAGAGGTTGCCCGGATGGATGAGCAGGCCCACTAACCCTGTTAACATTGAGCAGCATTTCCAGGAGGGGATACATTTATCGAGCTCAGGAATAAAGCACTGAACAGTGCTTTGGCTTTCTAATCCTGGCTTTTGGCATGGCTTTTAGCCACTTGGTGCAGTCAGGAGCCTTATACCAAAATCAGTAAAGCAATGGAGCTCTTGGCAAGGTGGAGTTCTGGCCTTGGTCTGGTTTTCCCCATCCATGAAGGTCCCATTCTCCTCCCTGGAGCAATCACAGCAGCATTTTCCCAAAAATATCTCTTTCCTACCTCCTTACAGAGATGGACTCACCTGGAGGGACAGCTAAGAACCATTTCCAGGACTCTTTACGACCACGTCCCCATTAATTTCTCTGCGGGGCTAATCAACCATAACGCTGCTGAGAGACTCATTTACATACAATACGAGGGGGAAAACGGGGTGTGAGGCTGGAGGAGGCTCCCCCACACACAACATCTGGCTGATGAGAGAGCCTGTCAGGAGCTGCCTGCGTGCTGGATGCTCCCTGCCATGATAACTGCTCGGAGTGGATGAGCTCTCTGTCAACAACTTAATAATCCTCGCCGCAGTGTCAGCCAACACTGCTGCAATGAAGGGCTGATAACGAGGGGGTTAGAGTGGGGAAATCGGGGCTGTTTTGTCAGCACAACGCTCCTGTCATCAAAAAGGCTCTGCAAAAGCTTGCAAAAGATGGGTTCTAACCATCCCTTCAGAGCTGGCCCGGGAGGATTCGCCAGCCCCATTCCTCCCATGGCCTTTCTGCACTAACAGCAGCAGTGACAGGAACCCCTGCAGGAAGCAGATGTGGACGACCCTCCTCCAAACTCAAGGAATTTGCCTGGTTTTCATCCAGAAGCTTTTCTATCTCTTCCCCTGTTTTTTAAACTATTGCTGCTCTTGCGTGCGTATGACTCCAAATTATTCTTTGTGAGCTCGGTCCAGGCAGGAATTCTGCTGCAGTGAGGGATCCTGCAGCTGAGTGGAGAAACCTCCTGAGCTGTCCTCAGAATAGAGGGAGTACTAGCAGTGAGGATCCAGGATGTGGGGCATGTCCCCCAGAGCAGCTCCAAACTCTGCCTTGGGATGGGTTGATGCAAACCTGGGTACCCCTGGAGTGGAAGGGGTGGAGGAGGCTTCTGTCCTTCAGCAATTCCCAGTCCTTCACCCTGGGCTTGTCCCAGTCCCACCACGGACCACGATGGTCCCACCACCCCGCTCACATGCCAGAGCTGGATGAGATGACCAAGGCCAAACCCTAGATTTGGGGCTTGGCAGGACACCAGCCCACCCTCATTGCACAACAGGAGCCATCCCAGGGGATCCTTCTGGGGAAGGAGAAGGCATTAATGCTTGGGGAGCAAATTCCTCTGGCTGCTTGAGGCCGGGACTCAGCGCTCTGGAATTCCAGAGCGATAACACGGCACGAGAATGTTTAAAAAGGCTGCGGATGCAAACTGCAACCCCAGGCTGCAGCCCAAAACTCACAGCTTCGAGCTGCTGTCGCAACCAGCAGTGGAAGGACAGACTCCTGGGGCTTCTCCCCTGGGCTGGAAGGAGCTGCTGCCCACTCCACCGTGCTGCCTGGGCTTTGCAGGAGCCCAGCATCAGGCCCACTGTGTGCAAAATTAGCCCCTCGTCAGCTGTGCCTGCAATCCCTCACTGCAGGGGGAAATGGAACCAGATGCCAAATTGCCACCTGGAGCTAATTTTTTTTATTTTTTACACAATTGAATTACAATCGGCTGGAGCCAGTGGGAGCTTTCCCTTCATATGAGCTGGGCATGGAAGCACTGGGAGGCTGCTGCTGCACTGGTCCCAAATCCCAGTCCAGCACAAATCCTATAAACTTCATCATCCTCCAGCTGCAGGAACCACTCTTGCCTCTCATGTCACCATATAACGTAAATAAATATAAAATTGAAACGTGCCTTAAAATAAAATGCAGTTTAAAGCTCTTATTTTAAATGTAGGAAAGCACTCCAGATTTAACTCAAAATTTTTTTCCCCCACTATTGCAAAGGAATTCGGAATATTTTCCCAACTCATATTTTAACATTTGAGGACCTCGAAGAATTTTCCCTGGAGTACATGAAAATGTTCAAAGTGGCATCAACATGGCCTTCCAGGGAACTCCAACCCCTCTGGAATGGATTCATAATAAAGAACAAAATTATTTGGGCTGAAAGAGACCTAAAAGATCATCTTATTCTAACCCCCATGGACCTCCTGACCATGAAACTTGCTCTGGGTCTCTTACAGCTTTGTTCAAGCAGTGATGCAGTTTGGATCCGCTGAAAACCAGCCCGACTGTGTCTGTATATGATGCAATCTCATTTTTGACTGCAGAGAGATACATTCTGTCACTTTTTGCTGGGAAGTTTTTTGAGGTGTTTAAGACAGAAAACATTTGTGGGCAGATTTTGAAATGTACGCCCACAAAACCCAAACTCTGTGAAACTTTCTATTTGTGGGGAACACACTGTAGTTAATTCTTTTTTGCTTGTGTAAATTCTTGGTTTTATGGAGAACAGTCCTGGGATACTGATTTGAAACAGAATTTATGTATATATATATGTATATATATGACTCTACAGCTTCCATCTCATTGGGTAAATTCCCCATAAATCCATACCCAGTCGTGCACTCAGTCAGAACATTCTGCTAGAGCAGCATGGAAAACAAAAGTCACTTTTGCCTGGCTCAGAAAGAGAAACCTTGAGGACTGCCAACATCTGCTTTCATCCTGCTGCTTCTTCTGGAAGTGCTGAGGATAGTGGGGAAAAGGCTGGGAGAATGAGGGTGTGATGTGGGAGCAATCTCAGCTATGGACCCCATGAAAAAACATGATCAGCTCTCAAAGTAATTCAAGTTTATCCTCAGTGAGCCTGAGTCATCCTCCCAGGGCAATATCCATGGTCACCCCATGGATCAGGGCTGTCAGACCAGGGGCAGGGTCAGGCAGTGCCCAGAAATGGCACCAGTAGGATTTTAGAAGCTCCCTAGCACAAATGGGTGAAGGATGGCAGCAATAATAATCCCAATTTCCTGATTTAATCTGGTTTCACCACGGGCACGCCCCAGCTCTGTGTCACAGCTGGGTTTCCCAGCACGGTGGTTTCTGCACCGAGTCCACGCTCTGCTTCCTTCCCTTCTGTCTCCCCATCACAGCCTGGCTGATTTTGTGCTCAGCAGCAGCACTGCTGGTTTAAATGCTGGCAGCATTTTCCCTCTGGAACTAAAAAAGTGTCTGCTTTCCCAAGCCAGCCTGGGAGAGTTGGCTTTGCTGGTCCAAGCACAAATATTTCTGGCAGGGCAAGCTCGCTGCAAGTTTGGAGTTGATCTCACTCGTTTCCTCAGCGCTAAGGAAATGCAAAGGGATTTGCAGTGAATTCTCCACAGCCTCAATTTTAAGGTGAGGATTGTTTAAGCAGAAGAGAACTGGAGTTCTCAAAAGCTCTGCAAAATCACGAGGAGCCTCTGATGTCACCGTGGCACCAGGAGCTGTTCCATCATTGTCAGGGATGGGGTGGCACTGCTGGGCACTGACCCTTTTTACATGGCT